TGCAGCAACCTGAAGCACTTTAAATTGGGACTTCTCAATATCTGGCAACCTTTGGTTTGCAAGATAGCCACTAATTTGTTTCCTGCCACGTTGCTGAGAAGCAGTGTTAGCTTCCGTGTTTTGGGACGTTCTGCATGTGGCCTTCAGCTCTACAGCAATTTAAGATTGGTTTGTTTCTACTTGTATTTTACTTCAAGGCATTCAATTGCTAGGTTAAAAGGTCTAAATGAGCATTCAATTAATGGACTTTCTTGGAACAGCTCTGATTGGGTAATGGTCTCTAAAATTAACTTAATGTACTGCTCGAGCTTCATGGTACCCTTAAAGCATTTCTTAGATCATTGATATTCGCCATTTGGAGAGCTTTCTGTACCTCATGATCCTGGATGTGATCAGTGAAGTACAGCAGGAAGAGGATTTCTCTTGTTTCTGTTGGTAAGTCTGGAAACGGGAGACAGCCTTTTAATATTTGTGGTGAATTCCTTGAGTGTTTACATGGGCTTCTGTTGGTGACATTTTAACTGAAGTCTAGTATAGTAGTATTTTAAACTCTTCTCACTAAAGTGCAGCTCCATCGTGCCAGACACAGGTCTCATTTTTGGGCAGAGTTTGAAAGATATCAGCTGTATCTGTTCTTAAAGAGGTAGCGACATGACAGGCCTTAGTTTCGGAATCTCATTCATTTGTTTCTGCCACTATAGAGAACTGAATATTATACACTAGCCACGAGGTCCTTCTATCACACACGGTTAACTTTAGACAAGGTCGGGAAAACACAGGTAAGAATTTTAAGGTGAAAGAATTGTGTCCAGCTATTCTTATCGATTTCTTCAAGATATCAACTTCCTTGGTGACAGCAGCAGAAATATCAATTAGCTTTTTGCCAGTAGAAACTTTTTCTTTGATTTGCTGTTCAACAACAGAAACTATTTCTTGAATTTCTCCAACTTTTTCTTCAACCATGCCTTCCATAGCCTTGATTTTGTGTTCTATTTTGGCAGTAATTTCTGTTTTCATTTTCTCTGACTGCTTCAATATTTACTTAGCATCCTTTCATCTCTTCTTGGCCAGTTTCATCTTTTCTTTAACAGATAATTAACTCAAATTTTATTTCTTTTTAAAATGCAGCTAAGGCTCTACCAGTTGTCTTAGATGCTCCTCCATCGCATAAACTATTTGCTTCACTCTGGCAGAGCAGACGGGAATATGATTAGTGAGTCTGACTGCTGTATTGAAGGGCACGGTTTCAAATCCCAGAGAAGGCATGGATGTAATTTGACCATCCCTTCAGAGCAGGCAACAGTGGCCACTTGTTAGGTGACTCCATAATAAAAAGACCACCGCTTCCTACCTTAATAGTGGACAATGACTATACATAGGGGAGTTTTAGTGAAATTTACTGTCTCCATCTTATTTTTTCCTCCAAACTGTACATCCATCATTCAGCCTATGAATATCTAAACACTGGGTACTCTGAGATGCAAATAGAAGGTAGCTTTTCTAAAATCCGTGCCATTTTCTGAAAAGTAGCAAGACCATTCAATAATTTTTTAAATACAGTCAAAAGTCGTTAATCCGGACTCATCGGGACTTCGGCGATTCCGCATTATCGATTTTTCCGGATCATCAGTTTAAATCTGGTAAGATGGCATGCAGAAATTACAAAATTAAAAATATGAAACCATAATTTATGAAACAAAGAGCAATTATGATCTAAAGGGTATCAAAATTTACAAAAAAAAAAAAAAAAAAAAAAAAGCTTAATATTTATTTGTTTACTTTATTAAACATTTCTTTCAACGCGCGCATGTGTAAAGCATACATTACGCATAATCGAAATTAGAAAATTGCAACCAGAAAACTATTTGGTGTGTACTCGTGATATTTATAATGACGAGGAATTTGATTTAAATCCTATCAAAGATGGAATACATCGAGATGAAATACGACATTTAGTAAGGAATTATAAGCTGAATAAAATAAAAACATCTGCTCTGAAGATAAGGATAGTGCTGACAGATCAACTTCCAGTTCATTGCACGCCGCAACGTTTCCCCCTGCCCCTCATAGAGCTGCGTGAAAATGATAAACAAATTTCGGAATGGTTAGAGAAACAAAGGATATGCCTTTATGCATTTTTTGCAGCAATTCCACTTTTTGTTTGATGGATATTGAAACATACTTTTGCTTTGTAGATCCTCTGGCAGCTCCAGCATTGGAAATTCTATTTGACATAATCGAAAGTTCAAGCTTACTTTTATAAAATTGCTTTAACAGTCTGCAAAAAATAATAAGCCAGATCCAATTTGAAGATTAAGGAACAATGCAATCTGCAACATTAACTGAAATAGATAATTTTAGCTTAGCTTATGCCGTCCGTTACACATTAAACGCGCATGCGTAAACGTATTATGCACATGTATAAAAGTATTACGCGCATGCGTGAACGCCTATGCGTTGATGCATGCGCAGAAAGTTTGTAGCTTTGAGGTCCAGATTATAAATCATTCCGGATTATGGGTGTCCGTATTAACGACTTTTGACTGTATAGCATAAAATCAGCTGAGTGGAACACTTCAACGTCATGGAAGGATGAGCCTGCAGATATTTAAAAATGACTGGCATAACTTATGGCCAGCTACCATATTTTATGGCAAGGATGATGATGATAATAGTCACAAAGTTGAAGGTTTTCAGATATTATAGACAAAAGGCAAAATTTACCAATTAATGAAATCTGTGAAGAAATGTGGAAAAGTGGCAATAAATGAAGATGATATAACAGAAGTTTTTCATATTAAATTCTTCTAATAATGCTTTTCACATAGAATCTTGGGCTAATCTTTGGAATATGGTAACAGGTAGTTTGGCAACATTTTGGTAAGGCAATAAAGGTTACTAGCTAGGACTTTAACAGTGTACATGGATAAAGTCAAGAGTGTGCGCAATGCCATTTTTGTGCAATTCTGGGATTTTTTTAAATCAAAATAAGTTGACATGAACATGGATGATACCGTGTATGTGCAATTCTGCACTTTCTCTCAATTTCGAACCTAATCTTCGTCATGATTAAGCATTTTTGTTCCATAAAAGTTCTAGTATAAGTGTAACTCAAGTAGCAGATTGTTGAAAAAAATGTTGAGTTAAAAAAAAAACATGCCTTTACTTCATGAAAACAAAATGGCATCCAAACAAAAACTAGCAGGTTGCTATAGCAGGGCTGGTAGCCGAATTTTCGCCAAAAAATCGACAAGTTACCATTAATCGAATCTTGGATACAATTTAAAAAAGTGTTATCCACGACATTCTTCCAAAGTTTTAAGCATTTTATTCAGAAATAGTTCTAATAATCTCTAATTTACAATGATTTGGCTTTTTAATTTAACTGTTTTTCTTTTTAAATTTTATAATCGTGTAAGAGGAATAAGCATTCAATAGAAAACTGTGCTGTAAATTACCCTTTACACACACACACACACACAAAAAAAAAAAAAAAAAAAAAAAAAAACTCTTAATTTTAACTTTTTGTCACTCATGTAGTGCATCTTGGACACCGAAAATCATAAAAGCATTTCTAAATCTTTAAATGCTAATACATGGTTCTCTTAGCATCTACATATTATTGCATGCAAAAGCTATATTTCCATCAGTATTTGTCTAGTTGATATCATTTTACAAAGCGTTCATTCCTATTTCACCTTTTCTAAGCAGTTTTCTCTTTTTTTTTTTTTCAAAAACACATGCATATAACTACAGAATTATTCTTCAGAACAATATATACAAGGACAAAAGTGTGATGTTTTGCAATGTGGGATCGCGATGCACACGATATGTTATAGCATATGGTAATGCCACAATGTATTAGGTGAATACTCTGTGCAAACTAAATATTACTGGTGAGACGACATAAAAATATCATAAATATTGATGAGATGAGAGATTAAATTAAATTTAAATGATGAATATGACAAATGTAAATATTTTGGGTGAAGTGCAGAATTGCCCACTTATTTGTTTGGCGTTTTTTACAAGAGTAAGAAGAATTGGATTTTTGTCAATTTTCTTTGACTTTTAAAGTGAAAACCAAGTGTGTGCAATTCTTAAAAACGTGCCAAGCAGTGGGTGATTTTGCACTTCCCCCAATGTTTTTTAAGATATGACTAAGAATTATATTACTACTACTGACCAGAAATATAATTCAGTCAGTATGACACATAAATATGTAGCCATTAGTAATAATTTATTACATTTTGTTGATTATGTACAATTCCCCCATCTTAATCCGAAATCATATATTTCAAGCTTTCAGAAAAAAACTGGACAGTCTTCTACAGCTCTCCATCAGAATAAAAAGCTGCCACATCTTAATAAAATAATGAGAAACTTTACTGAACTTAGAATAAGAAAAATGCATATATACTGAGAAGGGAAGCAAAGTGTTTGACATAGCATATGTTTTCAAAGAAAATATCCTAACAGCAGTAACAATAAAAAGTAGTAATAAATAGCAACAGTAATAATAAATATCGGAACATGTGAAATCAGTTTGCTCCAAATGTTATCAATGAGATTAAATTTTTTCATCTCTTGCTATATTTTAATGTTTAAAAGAAAATAAGCTTCACTTACACAAAATACATTTTAAATATGCATTATGAATGAAAATAGCAAATTAATGTTAAAAAAATTTTTAAATCATGCAAATAACTTTTTAATATTAGTCTTAAATTCCTATTGAACTAATCATTCTAATTCATATAATTTCATAAAAAAATCTAACTTTAATTAACACAACTGACAATAGTTAGTCAGTTATATGTTAAAGTCATCATCCACAATAATGCAATAATGAATAAAATTCAACACCATAAAAATACAATTTTGGGGCTGTGATCAATACATCGCAAGAAAATCATACAGAACACAAAAAAGAGTAGAGAAGAGTTAAAATTTTTAGATCAGCAATTTATAAAATTTTCTGTAAGTTTGGAAGAACTTACCAAACTTTACATTTTAGAGTCTCCTCCATATTCATTACATCCTTCAGAATTTCGGACGAAGACATGTTTGTTGATATAATTACACACTGAAAATTTAAAAATAATACAAATTACAAACTAATCAACAATTTAAAAGTAAATATTTTGGCAATGTTTACATAACCAAAGACTCAACCTGAACTTTCCCGCACTTTTTATCCAAGTTATTCGGTTACGAAGCAGTGTATTTGAATATTATTTTAGTAATGCAATCTGTAAAGATTTTGTGTCACATTTCAATATAAGGAAACAATAAATAGTGTTACAAATTTCGAGAGCTTTTAATACGTATAAGTTTAAAAACGATAATTTGACAAACCAACATTTTACTTGAGAAATATCAGAATGTCAATAGTCAATGTTCTGTGCCTATTAGTAGAATTACTATCTTCCATTTTATTACTTATGGAAATAATATGAAAATAAATTTTAGTCTCATTTACACTTTTATTTTGATACGAAAAATAAAATTTTCTTCTTTACGGCCCAGAAATGTTTTAAAATTATTATCATCAATAATTCATGTAATTGGAAATGGCAGCAGAATAAAAATGTCAATAATAATGGGAAGTTTCGGCGACGTGTCGAGGCTTTTGTTATTTATAATATATACTTTTATTCTTCTCTCAGAGGTAAATTATTTGCTCTTATGAAAGAAATCTGTTCATTCTGTTATCAAAATTTGTTTTAAAAAAGCATCTATTTTTTAGGCATCTATTGCTACTTCATACTATGTTTCACAAGATAAACGAATTGTTTGCATTTTCGGAAAGGAATTTCATCGATCATAACATAAATGTTGATGTATTTTATGAGAGAAATGCATTGTTTGTTTTCTTCCTTTGCTCTTGACAACTTAAAAAACTATTTTTTGTAAATGCAGCGTACTAATTAATAACAACTGTGTATAATTTTAATGAGTTTTGCTTATATATATAAAACAAATTCGTGAGGCTGTTGTTTATTAATTAACTTTTTTTATTATGTCATACTATTAGTCGATTAGTTATTTTGGGCAGTTTTCCTTCTGACAGCTCAAGAAGAATCAAGTTATGCAACGAATGCTTTATCGCATGATCATAAATCAGCTGCAGTCTGAAAGAAAATTTCATTATTTGTAACAAATAATTTGCTGATCAATTTTATGTTGTAAAAGACAATAGTTAGAATAATAACGTATGTTCATCATATCTCAACAAAATAATTGCATTCTGAGATAATTCGTTATGTTATGCATCATCGGGAATGTTCTTTGATTTAATAATCTTTTAGTGTATGGTAAATATTGTAGCAGTGATACTTGTATACTTGTTGTCTGACTTTGACAAAATGAAATATGATTGAAATGGAATTTTTAGTATTCATTTTCATTAGTTTATGTTTTGTTCAGGAATTTCATAGTAGTCTGTTTACGTTTTCTAGTCTGTATGTAATTTACTTTTTCTGTACTTAAATATTTTCTTTTATGCTTTGTTTTGCTTTTGAGATGTCTGTAGTATGACTAACTATTGTCAGTTTGCCACGCTTGGTTGATCACTCTTAAGAGATTAATTCTTATAATGCATATAGATTTTTTTTCAGTTAGTAATTTATAAATATTACTATTTTTATAGTTATGTATTTGAATTTATATTGGTTCTTTTGTTAAAAAATAAGCTTGATTTTAATCAGCAGTAATATAATAAATAATGTTAATTTTTCCTAGTATAAAATTGAGTAATCCATGTAGGTGTAAAATAAATCTAATTTTAAAAAATATAATTTAATTGCAATTATTATTTTAAACAGTTATTAAATTTGTTGGGCAATCTTTTCCACTATATGTTAATAATTGTATACAGTAAATTGTTTAGCATAAATGCCATGGTTCTGATCCTTTCCTCAAAATAGACTTTTATAACTATGAATAATTATTTTATCCATGAAATTATGTAATAACTCAAAAAATATGTAACGAAAAATATTGACAGATTTAGCTTTTACGTAACTTCTGTTTACAAAAATAGCCTAATTTTCTGTTGGTGTGACATGGATTGCAGAAAACTTTTATCCATATTTTTGTCCCCAAATTCAGAAGATTTCATAGCTGTCAGTTCTACACCGTAGGTGAATAAAACCTTATTAATTAAATGCATTGCAGCTTTGGCATCTGCTGTGCTAGGGAGTTCACTTTCTGTGTGTTGCATTCTCTCAACATTTTTTTCAGTCTCAGAAGAATATTTGAGCCTAGTGTTGCTCATTTTAATTTGTGTATACTATTGCATGCAACAACATTATCATTGCATGGTTGAAAAACTTCATACATTCTGAAAATATTGAAACACAAGTCGCAAAGACTTTTCATATAGTGGTGTTCTATCAAGAAGTAAAACTGTATAATCGAAATGTTTATCATATTTCTCAAATTAATTCAAAATCATTCTTGTAATGACCCTTTAAACTCCTGATCATACCTCTGTCTCTAAATAACAAAAATTTTCATCTGAGGATCAACCTTAAAACTAGCTGTGTCAGACAGTTATATCAGAGAATTTCAGTGGAATCAGGGAACTTGCTGGCATTCTTTGGTTAGTAATGATGACTGTCAAACCGGTCCCAGCGAAGGCATGGTTGTTTATTGATCAGTGCGGCTACATGGTGAGCCGGAAGCCGTTAAGTGATTGGCCGCAGGAAAAAAGGCGTAGGAGACCCTTGTATCCCCCGTGGGTGTTCTCTCTCAAAATTGGACTGGAGTTGCACAGTTAGTGCACTGTTACGCTACCTGTACAATCTGTGGTGAAATTAATTCCTGGTATCTTGCCAGCCTGTGCTTATTGTATTTTCATTGTCCTAGAACTGGTTTGATACCTGTCTCACAAGGTCATTGTTTAGAACAGAGACATGGGAATGAAGATAAAAGAAATCAGTGTAAGGGTATCTTCCTGTATGAATGGAATATGGATCTATTCTAAATTAGGATGACTGTAAGGGTTAGTAATTTTTTTTGTTAAAAGTTGCAGAAATTCTGGAAAAAATATGAAAAATGCAAAAAGAGTTTTAATTGAAGATATATTTAATTATTTTACATTTATAATTTGTTATATCCAATTTTCATACCTTTGGAAGTGCACTATAGCAGTATAAAATGACATTAAATTTATAAGGAAATTGGACGTCACCAAAAGATTCATATAATATGTTATAGGAGTTGCAATTTTATAAAGGATTTTGAATCATAAAAATTATTTGAATTAAGTGCTGGGTAAATTTGAAAATATATTGTTTTAATATTTCAAGCGTTAACACAAAAATTCGGATTCAACATATGAAGAATTTGTTTTTTACTTTTCTCAAGTAGAACTATTATTGTAAATAGCTAAAAGAAATAAACAGTCATACTTGATCTGCAGCCTGCCAGTTTTCTGTGAGTGGCCTAGTCATAATCAGGTAAAGGCAGTCAAAAAACTTAACTAGCCATGAGTTTTAAATTATTCAAAAGTTTGTGGAAAAAGCTATCAATTGGTTGGCAAGAGGATTCTAGATACATACAATGTGATGAACTTTTATCTTGAATTTCACTCACCTGCGAGGGCCCACCAGCGGCCGACCAATAAAGTCTCAGTACACTGGTAGTTCGGTCAGAGGTTCGAATCCCACAAAATGGGCTGGCTGCTTGGGCCTTTTTGTGGTTTTCCCTACGTGTAACATGTATATGAGCCAGTTTCCAGAGAAAGCCCTCCACGAAGGCATCCCTCCTCTTGGGCAGATAGCCCTCAAGGCTTTGCCATAATCACATAAATGAAACCAAACCAATCACTAACCTGCAGTCCTTGTCTTTTGATCTGCAGGTTATAATGAGCTTGTTTTGCTTAAATCATGCCGGTACGAGTTGCATGAGTTTTTTTTAAATTTTTTTTTTCAAATACAAATGAATCGGAAACAGATCGATGTGTGCATGGACACAGAGTTTGTGCAATTCTTTGACTTCTTATTTTGATTTTGTGTAGCGGCCATCTTGAAATTGTGTCTTCCTGGCGCCGATCTTGGCATCAGAAAAGAGTCGCCAAAAAAACAAGGGGCACCCAATGGTAAACTTTTACCGCTGACTATTTTGTTGTGTAAAATGAACATAATTTAGTTATTTGTTTGATCAATCATGAAATGTTTTATTTAAAGAATATAATAGTGGTTGTTATTTTCTCACTGAACACAAACTGTTTTGTGACACTTTTCCTCCTTGAAGATCTCTTGTAAGACATGAGAAATTATCGTTTTTATAAAGTCATTGTAACCAGCGGTGTAAAATATGGGTATGCAAAGAATGCCATCGTATAGGGGCCCTGGGATGTCCTGCTGAACTACATTTACATGTTTAAATTTAAGGAAGATGGGCATGTATAATAGAATCTGCCTTCTATATATGTATATATATATTTAAACAAATTTAAATTCTTAACAAATACGTATAAAAGTAAAGAGTAAAAAAGCAAATTTAAATTCTAATAAAAGGAAAAAAAGCCAAATAATTTAAAAATATGCAAACATGTAAAAGATTTAATTCTCGAACTAATCTACAATATCCTTTAAATTCAGAAGCATAAGCAAATCAAGTGCAAAATCTATCCATGAAAATAAATCTACTAATGTAATAAATTAAAATTAAATTAAACAATTTTTTAAAAAATGCATATGTGAATGATGTAGAGTAGGCAGCAGACAGACTTATCAAGGAAGGGGAAGTTGCCTCCAAACCTAACTCTCCAATCATTCAATTCGTGTTTCGTCATTCATGCAGGCAAGGGTAAAAGTCAAAACCAAAAGTAATTCCAAGAAAGTGGTATCCTTAGAAATTTACATTTAAGTATTAACATTTAAGAATTAAAGTTCAAAAAGGAAAATACTAATTAAGTCTTTTGAGAAACGTGCAAGTAAAGTCAAGAATTAAACTTAATTTTTTTAATTAAACTCAATTTATTCTTATGAAACAATTTTGTTTGTACTTATCAGCTTTAGCGCTAATTACCTGGTTTGTTTCTCTTTTATTAAAAACAACTTTCTTTTTCTTTTTCTAATAGTTTTGTTTTCATTTTAAACTCGCTCTCTAAATAATTTAGTTTAATTAACTTAAATAGTTTAATACAATAGTTCATTTTTTATTAATTTAGTGAATTAATTAGCAATAACATTTAAATTCCCAGTTTTTAAAATTTTTCTCTCCAAAAATTGAGTTAAGAATTTTTACTTTAAAAATTCACTGTATTGTAGGTTAGCTCCCTCTTTACTTTTATAACGGCTCATATCAATCACATAAATTTCCATAAATGTCAT